TGGTGCTTGTTTGGTGCCTTCTGGGTGTCCTGCTTGGGTGTGTCCGGGGCGGCGTCCTGTGAACGTTGCCTTTGCCTTGTTGATCTTTATTCTTGTTATTTTATGTTGATAATTTACAGTTTAACGTGTCCTTAGCAGCAAATGTACGACATACATGTATAACAATTATTTAAATAGGGTCTTCATCTGAAACTTATGAATCTTATAGTGTCTTATGTTTTTATAACACCGGATTATTCTTGGCAATCTCGATTCTGATCTAGCAAAATGTACTCAAGCAGTATACAATAACCAGATCAAGATACTTTTATAATAATTATTTGTAAATTGAAGAGTAAAGCTATAACACGGGGTTTTGAACTTACTCGATTCGACGTTACATTTATCAGTGAAACAACAATCTTTTGCGATTATACTTCCGGAAACATTCAACCAGCTTGATACGCATTTTGTTTGAGAGCAGGACTGTGACACCACACCGGCAACAGATGATACCTAGATAACAAACAACTCATCTCAAATACATACCAAAACAATGATGAACATTTTTTTACTGGTATTATTTCCATACTTCGAAAGTCCATACTGTCGAGTTTTTAATAATCTGTTACTTTTCGTCGCCCTAATTCCATAATGATGTAAGTCGTATTTTACCATTTTGAGAAAATCGACTTCAAAGTTTTAACAGGCTATATCTTCACACTAACTCAACCAATTTTAATATAAAATATATCATAGTATGCAGAATTATTTTAACTTTTACACTTTTAATTACGAAGAAGTTCCTGTAGATAGTTTTTTTGAAAATCAAAATAAAAAAAATGAAAAATCACTGAAAAATAAATTTTATTGACAAAAATACAAGAACCAGAATGCTGTACTCAGTTACAGCAATGTGACCCTAAAATATCATTACATTTAAACGACTTTTGAACTGTTTTATACTGAAATTATATTAAATTTAGAGGTAACTAGAAATTGAATTCTTTAACGAATAGTCTGAATCCACATTTATTAAGGCACCACAGAGCATGTCCAGAATGTGATCAGGATCAAAACAGTAATTTTAGTCTTAAAAGTCAATAATAGAAATCCAAACAATGCGGCGAAGTGTGAATAGCCACGAACAGGCAATTTAAGGTTGAAATAGATCTCGGGCTTCATTATCTTATCACCATTTACATGAAATAGTGAGCCTTGCAAATGAACAAAAAAAATTTGATGTTACTGATTTTGTAAATGTATCACATTGAGGTAAACAAAACGAAAACAAAATTTAGAAACATCGTCCTTGTATTGATATTTACCACGTAAAATAGCAAACTTTTTATCATATGATATGCTATTTTTACAATAAGACTGTACAATATAAAATATTTGGAATTCAGATTTACTTTTGGTTTCGTTTATTATATCATTAATTCAAACCAAATTCAATTCTGAATACCTGTAACTTGCAGACAAACAGCATGTTGAACATAATTTGACTTACAAAACACACAAAAATGTTTGAAAGATGTAACTGCTTAAGCTTTGAAAAACAACATCAACAATGAGTTCCTTTCTCTGTAACATAAAAAAGAATAAACCTATGTATTTTACTTTTCTTAGAACAGCATTACTTGATGTTTTGTTTTAAAAAAAATGAAAAATATGAGACACAACTCAAAGCTCACAAATGTTCAAAGATGCTACAGATCTGGATACGGTGTTTCAATGAACTACTGTGCTTCAATTACTACATGTATTTATATATAAAGTGGCATACAACTTCTTTACATACAATAACAATTAAGTATACGTTTGCATTTAATGTTTTTATCTGAACTGTTAACATCAATAACTCATTCGTATAAAAACAATGCTCAATATCTAAGAGTTTCAGACAAATATTAATTCTATTTTACCTCAACAAACGTTTGATGAAACAAATATGACAATTTAAAGAGTTCTTAATGTTTTATATGGTCTTAAGACTTTGTAACATTTCTTCACAAAATCATTCTTTTTTACGTTTCAATCGAATGAAATTTTTTTACCACACATTTTTTTCTTTTTAAAAAATAGTTTTCGTAATGGATAATTTTCAGTTCAATGGTTCAAATCACTTGATAATTACAGGTAGTATTACCTTACGAGGAAGTTGGAAGTAGATGTACAAGAATTATTTTTAACTTAGAAACTTAGATTAATTTTGCTTTGCATGTTCCAATTACATAATAATTTCAGCATAAGATTGAACATGATTATGTTGACAAAAAAGGTATAAGACTGACACCCTGTTGATTTATGCAAAATAGCTGAGAAGGTGGCATTTTGTTTAATAAGTATTTGTTGTGCAAATGACGTCTCTTATTCAACGCTAAATGGTGCATCTGAGACACCTCTCAGCTTTTAAACTTTTTTATAGGGATATTGTCAACTGTAACCCACCATATAGCCTTTGACGTTTGGATGTACTGTTTTAAGAACACAAACGAGTGATGTAGGACTGAACATTTTAAAAGTGTTTTTGTCTTTCTTTCTATATGATAGTGGGTATTGTTAACCAGTCTAGATTTCATAATGCCTTGGACAGCAAAACTTTTCATATTTTTGTGATCGTAAATTTCAGCATAAGATTGAACATGATTATGTTGACGAAAAGGTATAGACTGACACCCTGTTGATTTATGCAAAATAGCTGAGAAGGTGGCATTTTGTTTAATAAGTATTTGTTGTGCAAATGACGTCTCTTATTCAACGCTAAATGGCGCATCTGAGACACCTCTCAGCTTTTAAACTTTTGTTATAGGGATATTGTCAACTGTAACCCACCATATAGCCTTTGACGTTTGGATGTACTGTTTTAAGAACACAAAACGAGTGATGTAGGACTGAACATTTTAAAAGTGTTTTTGTCTTTCTTTCTATATGATAGTGGGTATTGTTAACCAGTCTAGATTTCATAATGCCTTGGACAGCAAAACTTTTCATATTTTTGTGATCGTTATATGAAAGTGCATTATTTTGAAATTATGAAAATAATGAAATTATGAGTTATGAAATAATCATGAAGTAAACACCACCTAATTTAACATCAGTTATGAGTTGTTAAGTTATATGTGTAAATTTTATTAGAATCACTTAGCACCAGTACGGTAATTTGTCTTATATAGTTAAAGACAAAATGTAACAATGGCAGTAGTATGTTTCCCATTTGATAAGTTTTGTTTGTAAGTTAAAAGTATAAACAATCTAATGCAAAACCTAATTGTACGTATTTAATCTGAATATGTACAAGTTAGCATTGATCAATCAATCATATAATCATTCACATATCAAGTTATGAACAGCTGATACTTGTGAATATTGAAAGTTTGTATCATTTTATCCGATTTCCATGCTATCCGAATTTCATAACACAGCATGGTGCTTTGAATTAAGCTAAAGTGTAAAGAGTAGTTATTATTTATTTTTAAGGTTTGAAACAGTTCATTAAAATATTAAGCTATAGATAATTAGATAACATCTAAAGCAAAACACTTACATGTTATCAAGAAATATAAAACGTAAAATGTCATTCCCGATACCTTGAAAAATCTGCCATTTTGTCAATACAGCATCACGTGACTAGAATCTCAACAAACTATTGGTTCAGAAGTTACGATATTATGGACTGTATTTTTATCACAATTTTTGGACTTACAGCACTCTGACCCATTCAATATATTGTTACAGGCATGAACCAGAGTGATGTTGTTCTTACCATTAGATAGAGCAAAAAAATACGAACATTTTGATACCAAACACTCATTTTTTTCAAAATTGGAGTTACGACACTCTGGAATTAGGGCGACGTTTTGCAGAATCTTAAATTCGTGCGTAACTGGAATTTACGCCATTTAGGGTATATATGTAACGAGATCGTGTCATTATGTTATTCTGTCGATGTTCATATTTTAAAAAGAGTACATGAATGTATATTTTTGTTGCTTTTAAATCGGTGGTTATTCGTGTTTAATTACAACATATTTGCATGCGTAGGTTTACTTTGTAAACCAATATGTATATTATAAGCTGACGATAAAACGCTGTTTTTATTGCTTATTTCAAAAGTGTAACAACGGACGACTTAATGCTTGTTATTTGCGTGTTTCTGTAATATTTACGAAAATGCACCAAGTTTCTTGCTTGGTGCATTTTTTGTGCGTTTTACATACTAGAAAACCATTTCATAATTTAAATCCATTTTTTTCAAACATTTTTTTTTCAAACATTTTTTTTCAGAAATGAAACTTTAAAAAAAAAAATGAAATTAGAGGCGCTAACATTTTACATGATAGGTCACGACTTTTTGAAAATCACGTCTATGAAAATGAAAACAGTATATTGGTGTCAGTAGAAGTGTCAAATATGACTTTTGTGCATTTTTATTTAAATGAAACTTTTAATGAGATTATATATGTGCATTATTTTCTTATGTACTTATGCAACTGGTGTATATGTACTGTCTTTTACAAAAAAAAAAGAATTACTTGAACTAACGTCTAATTGTATTGCACAGGAGGGAAGACTTTTTCAATGTTTATTTCTTCAAAGTCTGTTTCATCAAGTAAATAAAAAAGCAAAATTATTATATTTTTAGTTATGCAGATTTTGAACGGGATACGAACAAAAGCCCCCGCCCCCCACTGGACGAAAGCCTCCACCCACCTAAAAATGACAAGGTGAACAAAAGCCCTTCCCCCCATGAAATTATTTACACGTAGGACAAAAGCCCCCATCAAAAAACAGGTAGGACAGTCAATCAAACAATTGTTTTTAAATCCGAAACTTGATATATTGAGACAAGTCAAAATCGGTATGTTTAATTTAACAAATAAAAGAAATAATTATTGTTTTAAAAGATAATTTACATTAAGATTCAAATTTAAAGGTACAAAAGTTCTAATTTAATTTATTGTGTAATTTGTATATAATTCATTGAATATATGAATGTGTTTATGTTTATTATATATTGTACAGTACAAATGTCAATGAATATTTTCAGAGAATCGCTTACCAACACTTATCAAGGAAATAAAAGTTAAAGGCGCATACTTTGTTTAGATTTATTTGCAGTATAACCCAAGTTCCCGAATACAGCTACTTAAGGCGTGTGAAAAAGATAGTAATCAGTCAAGTCAGGTCTATAAACCTTAGGGGGGGGGGGGCTTTTGTTAATGGACGGAGGGGGGGGGCTTTTGTCCTGCCTGCATTTTTGATGAGGGGGGAACTTTTGTCCTATGTGTAAATTTAATGGAGAGGCTTTAGTCCACCTTGTCATTTTTTAATGGGTTGGGGGCTTTTTTCCGGGGGGAGGGGGCTTCTGTCCTACACTCATTTTCCAATGAAAAGCGACGTTACAAACGTGCAGTTTTATAAAGATTCGTTATATTGGTTGCTGAAAATACATAAAGTAGAACCTGAGATATATACAATATTCGCCAGCGCCTCTTGTCATATTTCTCATTTGGGGCTAAATCTTCCCGTATATTCCCTCAGCAAGGGGCTAAATCTTCCCGTATATTCCCTCAGCAAGGGGCTAAATCTTCACGTATATTCCCTCAGCAAGGGGCTAAATCTTCACGTATATCCCCTCAGCAAGGGGCTAAATCTTCCCGTATATTCCCTCAGCAAGCCAAAACACTTATTTGTATATTTATGATGTACATGTATAAAAATAATATACCTCACATCCATTCGTGCTATTAGCTGGACACTCACTTGCTGTTGTGCATGATCCAGCAGCACAAGACCTTTGAATACAATTCTGAAATGATCAACAAAATTATGTATCTGCTGAACAATGCGTAATCGTTTTTATAACAGGTGATACAAATGTAGAAACCTTTTAGTTTAAAAATGAAGAGCACCGGAACGGTCCCCCGAGGGGCCCGAAGGGAATCGAGGAAACAAGAGAGTTGGGTGGTCTGGGAAGGTGATTTTTTTTTAAATAATTTTCCCATTCCAACTCCCCTTTTTCCCTTTTTGTTTGAAAAAGTGATTGCCGGAAGAGACAAAAAAAACGACGACGGGCCCCGGCAGTGGACAAAAAAACGAGGCCTTTTGCATAAAAGTTTATTTTCAGATATCAATTAAAATTTAAAATTTTTTAGACATACTGGGGCCTCTACGAGTAAAACTAAAAAAAGTTTAAAAGTATTAAATTTACAGTGTAATACTATGCACTCCCCCTTTTCAAAGGCCCATTATGTCCTAGAAAGGCTTTTTATTTCATTTTTTTTAAAGCTTTATATAGTTGATGTCCAGTTATAGTTTCTACAAACTCATTTACCAATTAACTGAATTGTGTTTCGCATATGTTGCTCACAGTTATAGTTATTTTTATGAACAGCCGCGCGAGGAATAACAAAACTATCAAATTGTGTTTAATGGCCATACCATACTATAAGGTATGGCCTCTATTTATTGTTTTAACCAACAATACTTAAACATGTGCAAAGAAAAGTACATACATCAATATTATGCAAATTAATTAATACAATATAGAAAACACACATGTAGAAATATTAATTAATTGAATTCTACTAAATAGTAAGAAATGTGAGGGTTTCGTAAGAAAAAACGCCATAACAGCTAGAATAAGGCTAGCTTTTCCCCACATAGCTTATATATAATTATGTAAGTCAAAATATTGCTTGAAATCTAATTAAAAACAAAAATCATACTCACGTAGGCGAAAGATACATGTGCTATGCCTGAAATACAAATAAATATATATACCTAAATAGTGTTTAATATGTTTACAGTATGTTAGTAAAAATGCTTAGGGCAGTTGGTAGTAAGCTTAGTAGATTTGGGAAGTCAAGCGATATTTAAGTCATTTATGGCTTAACAAAACCATATTGTATTCTACCACCGTATCATAATATGGAAATGAAAGCCATCATGTGAGACAGATGTTATAAAATATACTATCATTAAATGATCAAATCACTGAATTGTGATAACAAATTAAATCTATTGATCCACAGCTGGTAAGCCGGTTAAAATACAAAAAAGATGTAGCAAAATACAAGATCGATGAAAACAAGTTTTATTATCCCATTACTTCATATACACGCCTTTTAACGCCTTTTTCACCCCCCCCTTTTTGTTGTCTCAAATGATGAAAAAATGCCTTATTTAGGCCCCAAACACTTGTTTTTGTTTGAGAAATGTTGTTAAAAAAAGTGACATCTTTTTCGGCGCGGCCCCCCAACCAAAAGATACATCAGGGGGTTGCCAGAAGGGGGGTGTGCCCCCTTCTGTTTGGGGGGTTTGAAGGGGGGCGGAGTCCCCCTCATCGCGAAGAAAATTTTGGACTTGTGAGAGGCTGTAATGACCCCAGATTGATCATAAGGTAACGTGTTACCAACGCTGAAAAGCATTTGACTCTATCTCAATCCATTGAGAAGTTGCAGCACTTTGAAATCAATTTTGATGGAAAAAATCAACGCAAAATAGTGATTTTTGGCAATTTTGAGATGTCCCCTCGTTGCCATGGTAACAGAAAATTTTAGTCCTGAGCATGTTGTTGCAAGGGCAATGGTCCAGTCATCATTTGTGCCAAGTTTGATTAGTGTTGAAGCAGTTTTTATAGTATTATAGCAATTTGAACTTGTAACGGGAGACTTTTCAATGAAAACAGCCATTTTTCACAAAATGCTCATGAAGCAATGGGTTAATGAAAAAAAATAAAAAAATCTACAAAACAACAATTTTTCTTCAAATTTATATGACAGGCCATGTTTAAACATGAAAAAAACGCGATTTAGGGTAATTTCAAGTATTTTCATCATTTTCTGTTAACCCATTACTTCATATACACGCCTTTTAACGCCTTTTTCACCCCCCCCCTTTTTGTTGTCTCAAATGATGAAAAAATGCCTTATTTAGGCCCCAAACACTTGTTTTTGTTTGAGAAATGTTGTTAAAAAAAGTGACCTCTTTTTCGGCGCGGCCCCCCAACCAAAAGATACATCAGGGGGTTGCCAGAAGGGGGATGTGCCCCCTTCTGTTTTGGGGGGTTTGAAGGGGGGCGGAGTCCCCCTCATCGCCAAGAAAATTTTGGACTTGTGAGAGGCTGTAAATGACCCCAGATTGATCATAAGGTAACGTGTAACCAACGCTGAAAAGCATTTGACTCTATCTCAATCCATTGAGAAGTTGCAGCACTTTGAAATCAATTTTTGATGGAAAAAATCAACGCAAAATAGTGATTTTTGGCAATTTTGAGATGTCCCCTCGTTGCCATGGTAACAGAAAATTTTAGCCTGAGCATGTTGTTGCAAGGGCAATGGTCCAGTCATCATTTGTGCCAAGTTTGATTAGTGTTGAAGCAGTTTTATAGTATTATAGCAATTTGAACTTGTAACGGGAGACTTTTCAATGAAAACAGCCATTTTTCACAAAATGCTCATGAAGCAATGGGTTAATTGAAAAAATAAAAAAAATCTACAAAACAACAATTTTTTCAAATTTATATGACAGGCCATGTTTAAACATGAAAAAACGCGATTTAGGGTAATTTCAAGTATTTTCATCATTTTCTGTTAACCCATTACTTCATATACACGCCTTTTAACGCCTTTTTCACCCCCCCCCCCCTTTTTGTTGTCTCAAATGATGAAAAAATGCCTTATTTAGGCCCAAACACTTGTTTTTGTTTGAGAAATGTTGTTAAAAAAAGTGACCTCTTTTTTCGGCGCGGCCCCCCAACCAAAAGATACATCAGGGGGTTGCCAGAAGGGGGATGTGCCCCCTTCTGTTTGGGGGGGTTTGAAGGGGGGCGGAGTCCCCTCATCGCCAAGAAAATTTTGGACTTGTGAGAGGCTGTAAATGACCCCAGATTGATCATAAGGTAACGTGTAACCAACGCTGAAAAGCATTTGACTCTATCTCAATCCATTGAGAAGTTGCAGCACTTTGAAATCAATTTTGATGGAAAAAATCAACGCAAAATAGTGATTTTTGGCAATTTTGAGATGTCCCCTCGTTGCCATGGTAACAGAAAATTTTAGTCTGAGCATGTTGTTGCAAGGGCAATGGTCCAGTCATCATTTGTGCCAAGTTTGATTAGTGTTGAAGCAGTTTTTATAGTATTATAGCAATTTGAACTTGTAACGGAATACTTTTCAATGAAAACAGCCATTTTTCACAAAATGCTCATGAAGCAATGGGTTATTTGAGCGACATACACCCTTGATTTATATATAGATGATTTCAGATCTGAAGAATTATCCATTAGAAAGCGTTCATATTTGTATGTGAAGGGTTGTAGTAAAGTACTATATGATTTTATACTATACATAATATTTTTTACATTTTCATACTGTTGTACAAAAATCTATCTTTATTTTATTTTATTTTTTTTTTTTGGTAACGCAAAATCGTCTTAAAGTTCAGCGGAGATGATAGATTTTTTTTGTAGATTAACTTAAAATCTTGGTCATGTTTGTCGGATCTGTATGTTTTTTTTGTATTGAATAGAAGTACATTGTATATGATACATTATAATTACATCGGTCTGTTAGTTTACCAGGTCAGTCTTTTAAAAGTATTTTTAATAGTACGATTTTGTAACATGTGTATTTTTATGAAGATTTGGTTATCTTTACCCAAAAAGACAATAATCGTCAAATATTGGAAGAATGTACGCATTGTAAAAAAAAAAGTTTTTATACATAAAATGCGATTTTAAGGGACAATTTTAGGTTGTTTTTTTGCATAAAAGTTTAATCGGAAATCCCCTTCAAAGAAACAAAAAAAGGGGGTTTAAATCACACACCCGACCGAATTTTGCGACCTTGAAAAATATGGAAATTGCCGGCGGGGCTTTATATTTTGAGGGTTTACGTCTTTTTCGTAATACAAAAATTGGTGAAAAGGGACGCGCTAAATGTTAGGGGTTTTACTTTTTGGCGGTCAATGAAAATGTTTTCTAAATTTTTCTTAACTGTCTTTTTTTTTGGGTTTATTTTGATAAATGGGATTTTAAAAATTCGTAAAAATTTCTTTTTATTTAAATTTATTAAAACCGTTGAAAAATAATATTATCAAAATTAAAATTTTTATTCAATTGGCAAAAAATTCCCGATTGAATTTACACTCATTCAAATCCTTAGGCATGAAAGAAAAATAATTAAAAAATAAAATTTTTGACTTTTTTTAAAAAAAATTATTTACATATACTGGGAAAAACTGTATATAATCACACCCATAACCTTTTTAAAAATATTAAACAACAGTTAAAAAGTAAAATATATAAAATAATCCTCCCAAAAAACCAAAAAAAATTTTTTTTTAATCCGTCCGATAAAAATGGGAAAACCAATTTAAAAATATGAAATACGCATAAAACCAATTGACTTGAAAAACACGGGTATTAGACTAAAAAAAATTTATCCAAAATGATAAAAACCCAGCCCCCTTTGTGCGATTTAAACGGGCTGGGATTTTTAAAATGTTACCTTTTTTATGTATCTTTTTTAACTGTGTATTACTAGTAATAAAAGGGAAACATCGATTTCGCGGGGGTTTTTTAATTAGTTTTTGTCGGTCTGTCCGACGGTTGCCTTTTTCAACATTTAGGCTTTTTTTGGTATTGTTTTTTGGAAATTTCAAAAAAAAACCGTGGCAATTGACAAGCCTCACTTAAACAGACGGTTTATGTCGGTGGTTTTTAAGTAATGGACGGACGTCTCCAGTCCGTTTATCAGCTTTATTCCGTCAGTAATCTTAGTTTTTTTTTTAAAATATAAGGTAATCAGCCAAATTGCCGGTCTAAGTGGTAAAATGATATAAAGAGATCAAAGAAAGAACTCATAAATCCAAAATGATGGCATGTCCGTCTTTTTTTTTCACACAGTCTATCTCCAGAACAATAAAAACCGATTGAAATGAGAATAGGTGGCAGATAAGAGAAGTACACTTACCAAAAACTATAACTCTATATAGTCAAGTTTAAGGGGAACGATTGCCTAGTGGTTAAAGTGTCTGCCTCTCAACCCAGGTTCGAGCCCTAATCGGGTCATGACCATGATTCTTCATATGACACTGTTTGGTTCCAGGAAGCGGACTCGAAATTGATTAATTTTCTAAGCTGCGGTCTCACTCACTCCCGGCAGAGCCCAGGACCATCACAGTAAGTTACCGGTATGATCCGGGGTGAAATTATTGTTGCAGTCACACTAACTCCGGCAGCACTACGGTAATTCCCAACTTACCACACAGGATGCGGTCCGGATCATCAAGGCAGAGCCCAGGTGAAGCTACGGTTCATGCCAGTGCTTCCCCGGTCGTTCCCGGATGACGCCGAAGAGCCCCGGGTGATCGAAGCAGAGCCCTGGTAGATCCAGGCAGAGCCCAGGACGATCAAGGCAGAGCCCCGGTAGAAACCCGGTGGATTAAAAACGCGTGAAAATGATTACATTGATACATAATTTTTATCAAATATAATATGTAATGTTCCAGAATAGTATCAAAGTTTAATCATTCAAGATTAAACTCTTTTATTTTACATGAATGACACATGTCTTAATCTATCGATCAGTTGTACTGCGTATCAATACGCATGCTCAGTCTGAGAGCTATATTTAGAACACTATATATAAGGAGCTGCGCGAGCCCGCTGCTTCCTTTTCGTTCTGGAACTCTATGAGAAAGGTAGCTGCTGATCATATTTTAAAATTTTTGTTAAAATCTTAATCTAGGTTTTT